CCAGCTGACACCAGACCCTGTAGCTCTAACCACCAGCAAATCAACAAATCCCACTTATCTCTAATTTATTAGCTTTGCATTGATCTAACGCCCTTCAGTTCAGAGCCCTACAAACACACACTGTTTTCCTACTGACTTCCAGCCAGGTATGTGGTGGGGAGCCAGGCCAGCTGGCAGTGAGCACCACCCCTGGCCAGCGAGGCAGGCGGAGATGTGGCCAAGTTTCCCTCCTCGGCTTTTCTGCCTGGCCAAAGGCGCTCATCAGCAACTGGGCAGGGGCAGGCTGGCTCCAGAGCAGCTCAAGCCCTCCTGCAGCTCGTCTCTCAGCCGGGCCCTGGGACCTGCACATCCTACCGCATCGCTTTTAACAGCTCTGCGCATGGTGGTGGTGGGAGGGGCATGAGATGCTCAGATTCTGTCCTTTTCAATAATGGGCAGCAGGTTGATTTCAGGGTGGCTTACAAATTCCCTGCTGACTCCTCAGGCTGCAGTAGCTTGCTAGGGCCGCCAGAATGAAGAGTCACAAACTAGGTGCTGAGACAATAGGTAACGGCTTCAGTTCTGAGGCTAAAGTCTGAAGTCGTGATCAGTAAGTAGTTGCTTTCCTCTGAGGTTCCTCGCTTCCTCCTGCCAGTGAGGAGAAGCTGTTCTTTGCCTCTGTTCCAGCTTCTGGGCTGGTGTCGGCAGTGTTTGGCTTGGAGATGCAACACTCTAGACTCTGCCTTATCTTCAGGTCACATTCTACCTGGGTGTGTGTCTGTCTCCAACTTTCTGTTTTTATTAGGATACCAGTCTCGTTGGATTAGGGACCCACACACACACTCCAATATGGCCTCATCGTAACTAATGACATCTGCTATGACCCTATTTCCAAGGAAAGTCCCATTCTTAGATACTGGGGGTTAGGACTTGAACATGTAAACTTTGAGGAGGACACAATTCATCTCATAACAAGGGCCATCAGAAGCCTCCCTCTCCCGGGAAGCTACCCACACCTTCTGCTCAGCAGTTTGTCCTCTCTGGAGTTCCTGCAGCACATAGTGTCTGAGTGTCCCGATGGCCCTGGGCCGCTGAGCCACCTTGGCCTTCCTGGTGTTTAGACAGTCTCCTTAGGCTGGATTTAGCTCTGGGTCACAACCTTTGCAGGTGTTGGACACAAGTGCAGCACCGTAGACGCCCTCAGATGTCATTAGGACTGGTGGGTGGGAGGTAAACTGGAAATCCAAAAGGGGTGCCCACTCTCAGCTCAGCCCAGGATATGGCAGAAAGCCAAGGGCAACCTCTGCAGGACTGAGGCCGAGGCTGGCTAGGGGAGTTTCTCCTGTATACACAGCAGCACCAGCCTCATGATGAGTGAGAACTGGGTGCAAAGTGACTCATCCTTCTGAGGAGAGGACATCTTTCTTTTTTAAGGAAGTCACCAATACTCAGGACCATTTCAGACTCTCCTATCTGTTTTGGGTGTCAAGGGAAGCGGCCACACAGAGCCATTTGGGGCTTTCTAAGTGAATAGGGATTCTAGGCTGATGTGAGAGGCCCCTTTAGAACCAGGATATAAGGAAGTAAGATTGTCTTCATTTAAACTATAAGACGAACATCTCAGGTCCAAAGCAGGAAGCAGCAAAGACTTTGTCTCTCTTGAGTCAAGGTGTCAGCATCCTCCAAAGTAATGTGTGTGTGTGTGTGTGTGTGTGTGTGTGTGTGTGTGTGTGTGTGCATGCATGCACTCATGCACATATATGTATTACACATGGTGGTGTGTCTGTGTATGTGAGTAGAAGCATGTATGCGGGTGTGGATGTGAGCTTGAATGATTGTATGTGATCATGAGGGTGTGTGTGTGTGTGTGTGTGTGTGTGTGTGTGTGTGTGTGTGTGTGTACATGTGTGTGTACAACCACTGGAGCCCAGGAAAGAGTGAGGACTGCTTTTGCTTAGCAAGATGAAGCAAAGCCAAGCAACATGTCCTTGGCTGTGCCCAAGGCAAAGGGGAGGCTGGGCAGGAGCTTGAGTACCTCACCTGAGCCACACGTCTCCCCCAAGGTATTGCAAAGTGGTTCCTCTGCACTCAGTGTCATCCACTTTTTCCAATGCCCCAAGCACTGTTGTCATTGGCTTCCTTGGAGCTCGCCCTCAGGGACAGAATGAGGTGGTGGCCAGGAGTAGTTGCTGAGACCCAACATGTGCAGACAGAGACTAAAAGCCTGGCCTGGGGGTCAGCCTGCCTGGCCGTCCAGTCCTATTCCTCTACTTACCACTCAGTTACTTACCCTCTCTGAGCTTCAGTTTTCTCATCTTTGAAGTGGGCTTCATAACAGTTCCCGTCACACTGGCCATTGTGAGGATTAAAGAGATGATCTGTGCACGCCAAATGCTGCACACAGTGGCTGGGACACAGCGGGACTTAGTGAAATGTCAGCATTAGTTTTTATTCCTGCCCACGAGAAATGGATCCATTCCTGAGATCTGGCTCCATGCAGGCACCATCTCTTTATCCATCATTGTCCCCCCAGCACGCGCACAGGGCCTGGTGTGTAACCAATGCTCTGGGATGTCTGGTGAAGAAATGAATGATTCAGTGAGTCTGACAGTGCCACCCTGGAGCAAGTGCCACGAGAACTTGCTATCTCTACAGGGAAGTCATTGTTGAGGAAATGGTGCTTTTTCTCTAACCCCAAAACACGTGTCCCAGTAACTGGCTACTCAAGGTTGTCAGGAACAGGTGCAGGCCCTTGTCCCTTCTTGCCTTCTCATTTCCCTCTCCTTTTCTTTTTTTACTCTTAATCCACTTTTTATTTATTACTTGTATTAGTATGTGTTTGCAATACATAATAATAATGTGTATCTCAGGGAGTTGGTACACGTACGTACTGCATCCTAATCATTCTTTTCTGAAACTCTTACACTGGTCAAGAACTTGGCTTTCATTACGATGGTAAGAGAACTTCTCTCCTGTTTGCTGCCTGAATTCGTATTTGTTTTCTGCAAAAAGCATGTTTTCACTTTCCTGGAAGTTGTTGTTAAGGCAAGTTATACTGCTGACAGTTTTTTTTATCACCCTCTGCTGCTGCATGGTGGGTACCAGTCCAGGCCCTGGCGTGCATCTTCTGGCACCTGAGGAGTGAATGGCATCCTTGGCCTTCCAGAGCATCCGCCCCTCTTCTCCATACTTTGCCTTCTCTTTCCAGCTGTGTAAGCCTGGCACATGGGCATGCCCTACCTTTGTTCTTCTCATCTCTTACCTGCTCTGGAGGAAATACATATCAATGGCAACACAGTAAAATCCGATGACAGCTTCCAAATTGATGCCTGAGCAGCCTCCAACACTACACCTTGACATGCCTGAACTGACTAGTCCTTGGTCTAGTCCCAGAGCAGCAATCAGGTGTCTGCTCTTCCTGCCGTGTTGGGAAATGCGGGGGCACCCGTCCCAGACTATTCCCTGCATACTTTCCCTGCGCAGGATGCAGCTGAGGAGTGGGGACCTGTAGGATAGGAGACAGAAGATACGACCTAGAACTCTCCCAAGTTCAGCTCTTCCAAGGCTCCTCTGGCTTTCTACATGGAAATCCATCCAGTAAGTGAAGGACTCCAGTGAATTTGCCACGGCGTCCCAAGGCAGGACTACAGGGGACTTCCAGCTGGCAGGGCGGTGGCAGAAAGAATCACTCCCTTCCCAGGCAGTTGTGTACTATGCGTGAATGCTCAAAAGAAATTTGGCTAGAATTTTCCTTGAGCACCAGAAATTAAGCCTCTGCCCTCAGGATCAAGTTGAACATAGTGGCAGGAATTCTGGAGTCAACTTTTGTCAGAGAAGGGGACAAGAGGGAAGCCCCTTGGCTTGGCAGTGCCATGACAACTGGGCTGGCTCTGTGCCACCGGGATTTGCAGAGGGCTGTGTGAGACCAAGGCTCTGCTGATGGCCCACTCACTGTCACAGATGCAGAGGCCAACGCTCGGCCTCCAGTGCTTTTTTAATTTTAGAGAAGAATCTCCCAATTTAGCTGGGGAGGTGCAAAGCTATTTGATCACTCATTCATAATGAAGAATGAATTATTATTTAAAAGCTTTTTGCCTCTTTTACCAGCTGGCTCTGTAATTAGAGCATGATCATTTCCTTTCTACTGTCAACTTTCCAAAGATTCATCAGTGAGGATCTATGAGGAAACAGTGTGCTTGAATTAGGGCCCTTTCCAGAATCCTTTTTTAAAAAAACCATTTGCAAAAATGTCGGGAAAGTACAGGGAAGTGGGAAGAATGCTGCAGTATCTGGGGGCTCTTGCCACCCTGAGCCTGAGGGGTGAAGAATGAAGTGTTACCAGACTCTGGAAGGAGAGGAGCTGGGAGCTTCAGCCAAGGTGCAAACGGTCTGCGGGTACCCTACCAAGAGAGAGCCAGGAAGGAATATTCAGCCTCACCTTTCTCTAGCCTTTTGCCAAGGACCCCATTGACCAGGCCACTGGGGCCAAAAGGGAAAGAAAGAGCCTGTATATGGTGCACAGAGGGTGGTCTCACAGGGTGGACAGAGGATGGAGAAGGGGCAAGAGGAGGGGGAGGGCAAGAGGAGCTCCCTGGTCCCAGGTTGCTCTTCCTTTATCCTGGACTCTGCCTCAGTGCTTCCTCTTTCAACTGCAGCTCTACAAACATCTCCGCATTGTCATCTTGAGCTGCCCACTCTTATTATTGTTATCATTACACATTGCCAAGATGGCGCGTCTGCCAAGCCAGACTGAGAGATTTTCAGAGACACAGATGATATCTCCCCCTCCCCCATCCCATTTCTCCATGGTCTCCAGTTTGCCTTTGCACACCACAGTGCAAATGTGTGTGTGTGTGCACGTGTGTGTATACACATGCATCTGTAAGCACAGGCCGGGTAACTGTGCACTATTAACCACCCAATCTTAGTGGCTTTACACAGTAAATGTTTTCTTTCATCCTTGTTATCCATCTGTTTTAGTGTGTTTTCTGTTTCTGTAACGCAATACCAGAGGCTGGTTATTTGTAAATGAAAGTGGTTTATTTTGCTTTATTGTTCTGGCAGCTGGAAGCCCGAGACCATGGTGCTGGCATTGTCCTGGCTTCCGGTGAGGGCCTCCTTCTGCAGCACACCATGGAGGAGAGGAAGAAGGAATCTTATGGTGAAGGAGGAAGCAAGAAAGAGACAAAGAAGGCAAACTCACTTTTATAGTATCCTACTCTCCCAATAACTAACCCCCCATGAGAATTAACCCACTCTTGCAAGAAAGGCACAAACCCTTCTTGACCACCTGCTCATCCCAAAGGCTGCCTCCCAACACTGCTATGCCAGCACCACATTTCACACGGGTCTGGAAGGAGACAAATCCTATTCAAACTATAGCTCCATCCATGGCAGCTCTGCATGTCATAATGACTTTGGGACCCAGGACTTCACTTCGCTGTGACTCCCACATCCACAATCACAATGGAAGCAGGTGGGGTGGGTTACACACGAAGCTGAGGTTTCTGTTGGATGGGTTACTTCTGCACATATGCAGTGTCTCTGGCAGGCTTGTGCTGTACCTAACTTTATAGGCAGGAGGTAGAGTCCTCGCACAGACAGAAAGTGGAAAGCCAGAAGTATTTCATAAATGGTCCCCAAAGGGGTACAGACAGTCTCTACTAGGGGCTGCAGAAGAGCAAGTGATGCTTTTGAACTTAATTAGGCCATAGTTGACAATAAAAATTAAACACATCTTTTTTGACATACTCAGTTTTAATCCACTTAACAAAAGCAACAAAAAGTTAGCAAATCAGGAGCCCAGGAATTCTAGAAATCAAATGATCTTAAAAATGACAGACTGGTTAACATTATAATTTTCCATTTCTGGCTATTTTGTATGATATGACTCACACTGTACTCTGAGATAAGGGTTCTTTATTTTTCCCTTATCAGGTTAGGATTCTTGGTGCCTAGGTTTTCATGTCCTTGGCTATTCCTTAAGACATAGGCCTGGCCAGGTGTTGTGGCACATGCCTGTAATCCCAGAACTCAGAAGGCTGAGGCAGGAAGATCACTGTGAGTTCGAGGCCAGCCTGAACTGCATAACAAAACCCTGTCTCAAAAACACAAAAATAATAATAACAATAATAAAGACACAGGCCTGCTCATCGACCTTGATACTTTCTTTAGCTCAGCTCCAAAGAAGACACCCCTAGGACAGTACCTTGTACCATCCCCAAGCATCAGGATACAAACTTACCACCCCCTCCCTCTCTCTAGCAAATCTCTCCATCATTGCATGAAATTCGCTTACCTCATAAATAAGAAAGGGAAAAACATTTTTCCAGATCTAGGAATTTCTCTGTTGAATAACAATTCAGAAAAACCAGCCAACCAACCCACTAACAAACCAATCAACAAAAAGCTGAAACCAAGGCCTTAGCATTGTTGTCCAAAGCAGCAAAGCATATTCACCCACCTTCAGGAATTGTCCATATGTAGGAACTGCTTGAGTGGTGACCCCGGTTAGACAGAATTATCATCAAATTTTCCCATCCAGCCAACTTTCCAAAGAAATTGCCAGGCAAAAACATGAAAAGTCTGTGACTGAGGGTATAAAAGAGATGGCTATATATTTTAAAATGAAAGGTAAACGAAGTACCTCTTTTCTGCTCTCTCTAATTTTTAGTTACCTTTTGAGCCCTGTAGGAAAATGTTAGTATTGTTCCCTCAAAGTAAATTGTCAAAGTAGTTTTAATGGCCCGAGTTCGAAAGGTGGATGTTTTATTGATGATGCCAAGCAAGATCTTGGTGAGGACTGGTTCATAAGATCTCTAGGGCCTTTGTGCCATGAGAAGACAAGGACTTGACCCTGACTCGAGAAGCACATGAACTCCATGATAAAGTGAGGGCCACAGTAACTTTGGAAGCCTGTAAATTTGGCGGTGGAAAGGCAGCAGGATCTGGACCTGATTCAGAGTGCTGGGACCTCACTGAGGGTCCTTTTGTGGTTCTGACTCTCACCCTTGGCTTTTTTCAGCAATTTGAATTCGAATACAACCTGTCAAGGAAGGAGTGAAAATAATCAGAATAGCAGCTCCCATTTTTAAAATTTCTTTACAGGATTGTAAGAGCAGTGCACGCTCATTGCAGGGAATTTGGAAACAATAAGACATAGCTTCTTGGCAGGTATGGTGATTCATTCCTATTATCCCAGCTATTTAGAAGGCTGAGGCAGGAGGATTGTAAATTTAAGGCCAACCTTGGTAACTTCATGAGACGCTGTCTCAAAATTAGGAAAGAATGGAGAGGCTACGGATGTAGCTCAGTACAGTACTCCCGGGTTCAATCCTTAGGACCACAGGCAAACAGTAATAAACCAAACAAACAAAAAAACCACTGTTTCTTCAAAAAGAAGAAAATAAGAGACAACCATATTTTTGTGTCTACTGATAATCACCATCAAATTTCTGATCTTTTTTGCCTTTTTTTTGTTGCTGTTTTTGAGACAGGGTCTCACTAGGTAGTTCAGGTTTGCCTTAAACTCACAGTGCCTCTCCTGCCTCAGCCTCCTGAGCACTCGAGTTACAGGTGTGCACCACCACGCCCGGCCTCCTGACCTCTTTTAAATCTATAGTCTTCTCTTGATTTCTAAGTTAAATATTTCAATCATTCATTCATCTTCATTTACTAATCACCTACCATTGTCCTGTTCTCAGCATTAGTAAAATAGCAGTAGAATCAATAAAGTCCTATTCTCATGGGGATACATATCAAAGAGAGTTATTAAAATTCAGTGACAGCAGGAAGACAATGGGAAAATCTCTGGATACTTGGAAGTTAAACAGTCTGCCAATAAATAATTCACAGGTCAAAGTGGGACTCTCAAGGGAAATACAAAAATACCCGGCACTTTGAGTTGCAGCTAACACAGGGCCAGGAGGAAAACTTATGGGACCAAATGCTAACATTAGAAAAGAAACGAATCAATAATTGAAGTTCTTACTTCAAGAAACTAGAAAAAAATTATACCCAAAGCAAGCAAGCAGAAAAAAAGAAATAAAAGTAGGAGAAATCAGTGAAATGGAAAGCAACAGGGAAAAACCAATGAAATAAAAAAAATGGTTCTTCAAAAATTCAATAAAATTGATAAATCTCTAGAAATACTGACAAGATTTTTTTTAAAAAGACACATTACCAATATCGTAAAATAGACAAACGATATCAGCCCAGATCTACTGTCATCAAAAAGACAATAAGCCGATACTCTGAGCAACTTTATGCTCATAAATTCAGCACCTTAAAAGAAATGGGCCAATTCCTCAAATATCACAAGCTACCAAAGCTCAACCAAATTGAAATAAACTACTGAAAAAGCCCTATAACAATTACAGAGACAGTCTGTAATTTTCAAAGCTTCGAAGGTGGTTTTATTAGAGAATTCTTCCAGGCATTTACAGAAGAATGAATACCAATTTTGCACCAGGCATTTGAGAAAATAGAAAATGGGAACATTTCCCAACTCATTTTTGAAACAATTAGTTTTGCCTGATTTCTAAACTAGATAAAGATAAGCATTAGAAGAGAAAAACCGCAGCCAATGTCTTTCATAAACTTAGGGGAAAAATTCCCAACAACAGTATGAGTAAGTTGAAGTCAGCAACAAAGAGACCTAAGTTAGGTGAGGAGATTTAACAAAATCAGATAAGACTTCGGATTTAGATAGACTCTGTTTCAGTCACCAGCCTCCACGACATGTGATAGCTCACTGGGCCTCAGTTTAATTACCTATTATATGGGGCAACACATTATAGGACTAATATGAATATTTAATAAGTGAAGTAGTACATCTGAGAAATCAGTGGAAGTTATAATTTTGCCTTTGTGTTTTTTAAATTGCCCACACCCCTCTCTTCTCTCTCTCCAGAGCAAACATTATTCTGAAGCCTTTAGTGTGTATCTTTATTGGTGTGTGTCTTTCTGTTCAAAGCTTCAATAGTATCTCTTTTTTTTATTTTCAAGTTTAGCATAATGCAGTACAAGAAGATATTAACAAAGAACATATAAAAGTACTCTTCTGTGAAACAATTTTAAAATCTTATAATAAAATAATTAGAGAATAACAGTAGTTAACAGGAATGGTCCACATGTTACTCAGAGTACAAGACCTGGATAAAAAAAGATTGTCTCTTACAAAGAAGAAACAGATAAAAGCACAAAACTTTCTCTTCAATGAACTAAGAAAAACTAGCAGTATAAATGAAACAAGTTAGCCTATCTTTTAAACATATTTGAAGCAAAGGAATAGATATCTTGGAGAATTATTTGAACTTCTTTGTACTTCTTAGGTCAATAGTATTTCTATTCGGATACTTAGTTTCATATCACTATGTGTATCTTTTAAAGGAACATTATACAGCATCTCTGTGTTTATCTCTTAGCAACTTCCATTCTATTAGCGTGTAAGTAGCTATGTACCTACACACACTTTTATAACTTAACAACTGGGAGCCTATCCAACATCAGCTTTTAGAAACCACAACATCTGCTTTTGAAAACTTGTTAGTGTGGCCAGTCCACCCCAGGTCCAACTAGAATATACATCCTGAGCCCCTGGCACACACGTGAGCACCCAGCACATAGTACATGCTCAGTAAATACCAGAGGCAAGACTCAGACCACTTCTGTCCCCATAGCCACTCTGGGAGATGGGTGTGGACCTTTCCACTGGAGCAGAAGCTGGGGCAGAGGGCAAGGACAGGAGTCAGAGCAGCTCTCCTCCTGCACCACAGCCAGCGTAGCCAAGTTGGCAGGCCGGAGCGGAGGCTCAGTTGCGGGAGCCTGGCAGGGCCAGCTAGAGATGCAGGTCCTTGGAAGAAGGGGCATTGCTGGGTGTGGGTGTGCCAAGGGACAGGACGGGGCCTCCGTTATGGGCCACGGGCTGTGGTGATACCAAGCCCTGTGCTGTGGCATGTGTGTGGTTTATGGGCGCAGCAGTTAGTCATGGGGTGTGAGCAAATGCTCCGTGTTATACACGTACCCGCACCCTTCACACCTCACACTCACACCCATACTTGTTCACACGCACAGACACACTCATGTCTATACTCACACAGATGCATACACACCCTACACAGACACACCCCTACTCACACCCACCCACACAGACACACTCTCACCCATACGCACACATTCACACTCACATCCCCACAGACACATCCACTCACACACGCACATCCACCCACACGCGCACATGCACACGCGCTGACATCACCTTCGGCACACATGGTCCCAGCGACCTCCCGCACGTTCTCGGCATGCTCGCTGGATGGATGAGGTGACTCACCAGAGGGGCCTGTTCCTGACAGCTTGCTCCAGATGTCATGGAACTGTGGTCCCCTCACCCCACGTGAACGCAGCAACTCAGAAGTAAAAGCCAGGGTTACGGATTGGACGTTTGTGTCCCAAGTTGCCACATGGAAATCCACACCCAACGTAGGCACCAAAGAAAGGCCACACGGGGCCATCAGAGGGGGCCCAGGCCTGCAACTCAGGGGCGTGAGCCCTCTGCGGAAACCCACTTGGCCCCCGCTTTAAAGTTGAACCTCCAGCCTCTACAACTGTGAGGAAATAAATTCTGTGGTGTAAGCAGCCCCATCTGTGGGATTTATTATGACAGCCAGAGCAGCTTAGTATAGGCAGGTCCTTACACACAGCCTGAAAGAATGCACCGTGGTCTGCCCTGCTTTTTGATCTTCTTCCCCTGGCATCTCTTGAGCCACCCAGCATCCGTGGTACTCCCTGAATAGCCCGGAGCCCATTCCCACCCCAGGGCCTTTGCATTTTCATTTCCTCTGCAGCTACACTCTTCTTCCATGGCAGACCCCCTCACTTCCTCCAGCTCTCTGCTCAAAAGTCACTGTTGTGGTCGGGGTTTGCAAGGGAATAGATTTAATACAGGATACATAATGTATAGGATTATTTTATAATATTCACCCAAAAAGTCAAATGCAAGAGTGCACGAGATCTGCTTAGATGTTAGAGATTAGAAGAATCCAACTGAGGGCCTGGATCCCATGGCAATGTCCCACATGAGTCCAGCCAAAGGCCTAGGGCCTGTGGCAATGTCTCGTGCTGGTCTGTATCAAGGACCTGCATGTAGAAGACCCAAGGACAGTGATGGAAGCTGGAAAGTCCACACCAGTGGATGAAGGATCTGTGTCAATAGGCTGAGGGATCTGTACTGCAGAAAGGAAGTGACATTCAAGGTAAGGGCCAGAGCTTCCCCAGAGAAAACCATAGCCACCCTCCGAGACAGCGAAGACCAGAGAACAGCCTAGTTTGTATGAGGAAAACCAGCCCCGGTAATCTTCTCCAGGAAAATCAAGAGCACGCAATCTTCCCCTCCCGTTCTCCTTTCATACCATTGGCAGCAGTCCTCAGGTGGGCCTTCCATGCCCGGAACCACGCTGACTCAGTTCGGCTGGGTGTTCCAAGCTGCCCATTAGTTAATCCTCCAGTCACCGTGGGGCTGAAGCTGACCCACCCTGAAAACTGTAAAATTGCAACTCACCTCTCTGCCAGCGCTTTCAACCCCCCTCCATGTTCTACTTTAAAATTTCCTCCATTCATTTATCACTTAGCAAGAGTGCAATCTAGAAGAACGAGGACATTTGTCTGCTTTGTTCAACACTAAACCCCAAGCTCTCAGGACTATGACCCGCAGTTCCTTTTCAGTGAGTACGCTATTTCCTGACTGCAGCCCCGCGAGTTCTCCGGTCAGCCGGGACACCCCGCCATACCAGGACCTCCCAGCAGATGGCAGGCGCTGAACGCAAGATAAAGCAGGGCGCTTCCCAAGAAGTGCAAGACAGCTCGCTTGGATTTAATCCTGATGTGGGCTTTTCCGCGTGCCAAAATGGTTGTCTGTACGCCGCCGGCTGAGGAGCTGATAAAGCATTTAGCTAGCACAGGAGGCTGTTTACCAAAAATTCAGGGGTAAAAGAAAACATTCACAGCTAAGAAGCAAGAAGGCCAGTCTTCCCACGGTGGAGAATGTGA